AAAAAAAAATGTTACAATTATTTAGAGCTAGAACTGTTGCAAAGAAGAAACAAGGCTATAAAGTAGTAGAATGGAAAGAACTATAAATAGAAGTGGAGAGAGCTAAGTTTTGGCACCAGTTTTGCTTTAACTAGTTCTGTAACCTTGGGCAAATCTCCCTTTCTGTGCCTCGGTTTTCTCATCTATAAAATGACAAAATCCATCCCATCATCTCTAAGGTTCCTTCTAACATTAACCTCATAACCAGAATTTTAACACAAAAAAAAGATAACACAAAAAAGTGTGATGCTTTAAGGCTCTGAACTGTATCTTTAATCAATATTTATCTAGATTTCACAGTTTTTACAGTTGTTTACAGTACCTTCCTCCTGCTCCTGTAATTACATGTTTATGTATAGCTTCCCCACCACATAAAGGGCTCCTCCAGCTCCTCATTCAGAAATATATAAAAAAAACCAAATCATTGAAACTCCATATTTTGGCTATCCATCAAAATATTTGGGTAGTCAAAGCAGATAGCCAAATGATTCAGCTTCCATCAGATATATTTTTGAATAAATTATTTAGCTATTTGGTTATCTACTGTAGTAAAAAAAATAGTTTTCTCAGTAAATAACTGATTTTCTACCTCCAAGTGCTTTAAAAAAGCATCTGTATCAACTCTATCACTTAAAAGTCCCCTTTGAGAGATGTAAATATGTGTAGAAACCTAATTTTAAAACAACTTTCAGACAAACTGAAGTATATTCCTATTTTTCTTATTATCAACCATCAACATATGGCTTAGCTATTTGCAACCTGGCAAAAAAAATATATTATTTGTAAAAACAGAGGAGAATTTTCTACCTTCTTTATCAGCCCAAGGCATCCATCTGGTGCCATCTATCAAAACAATATGCTTCCCTATTCTTATAACAATAAACTAAATTTGAAAATCAAGCAGAATTGATCTGGCATTATTTATTTTAGGCATTTAACAGTGTATTTCAGTAATACTTACCTACTTTTAAAACAATTTTATAAAGTAAATCCAAATCAGAGCTGCTAGGAAGAAAGGGATTTCCAGTGGCCATCTCAATGATCATACAGCCCAAAGCCCAGATATCCACAGGTCTGAAACAGACAAGAATAAATCATTTTTTCATGGAGAAATACATAAAATATATTTTCTAAAAAACTTTTAAAATAAAAAGCCCAAAGGGGCCAGTGGAGTGGCGCATTGGTTAGGAGTTGGCTTGGGACGCCAGCTCTGAGCAACAGGGCCCCAGTTCAGATTTCACATATGACGGCCAGTGACGCTTCGCTCTCTTGTCTGTTCCCTTTCCCCGATTCCCCAACGCTGTTCCCCTCCCCAATTCCCAAATAAAATCTTTAAAAAAAAAAAAAGACCAAAGGAAAAAAGATTTTTAAATGGTATCATTTATAAATTTTCACTGTAATATCATATGCCAACTTTAGGATATACATTAAATATTATCACATTTTATTAATAACATTAAATACCTTATATTTAAATTGCATGAGAAGCCATATAGCAGTCCAGATAAAAAATAACTGTAATTCTAAAATTGTTTCAGATACTTATATAAGGGCATTATGATAAATGGTTTATGAATTAGAATTGAACATAAAAATCATCTTGTATTTAAAAAGTAAAAAGTAAAAATCTNGCTCAGAGCTCACACTCTTAAGCCAACTCTCAACCAACTGAGCCACTCAGCCGGCCCTATCTATTCTTTATATAACTAAAAAACAAAAAAATTAAAAACTAAACTGAAAATGTAATAAACAAATCTGATCCTTAATAAACTCTAGTTCTCTTCAGGTACCAATGAAATAATTTTTTCCTTCAAGAATAGCCTTTTGCGGGGCCTGCCTAGTGGCACGTTGGTTAAGAACTGGCTTGGGATGCCAGAGGGCCCCGGTTCGGATCCCACATATGAGGGCCAGTGACACTGCCCTCTACAGCCAAGATGGTGAATGGCAGCTTGACCTGGGGCTGGGCTGCCGTGGGTCACTGGTGACGGCATAGGCTGCAGTCCCCTGCTGCAGTGGGCTGCCATAAGCTACCATGTGTGGCCGGCAGCCAGTGTGAGTGGCCAGCAGCCACCGTGAGCGGCCGTCCAGAGGCCGGCAACCGATCTGCCTCGCCCGGGAAGAGCGTAATGATGGTGCCAGCTTGGGCCAGTGAAACAACATCCTCCACAACTAGACTGAAAAACAAAACAACAGCAACTTGTCTGTTCCCCTTCTCCCGATTCCCCAGCGCTGTTCTCCTCCCCCAATTCCCCAATAAACATCTTTAAAAAAAAAAAGAAAAAGAATAGTCTTTTGGGGCTGGTCAGGTGGCACAGTTGGTCAAGAGCGTGAGCTCTGAGCAACTGTGTCGCCGGTTCAATTCCTACATGGGCCAGTGAGCTGTGCCTGAGCTGAGCTGCTGCTGAGCTGCCAACAGGTGGCAGGATGGCTCAGCTGGTGAGACCGTGTGCTCTTAACAACAATGTGGGATGGTAGGCTGCACCCCCCCGCAACTAAGATTGAAAGCGGCAGCTGGACTTGGAGCTGAGCTTGCACCTTCCACAACCAAGATTGAAGGACAACTTGACTTGGGGCTGATGGGTCCTGGAAAAACACAATGTTCCCCTTCCCCAATTCCCCAACACTGTTCCCTTCCCCAATTCCCCAGTAAAAATCTTAAAAATAAAAAGAATAGTCTTTAGATGTACATATGTTTATCTAAATAACAGCAACAACAATAATTAATATGAACAACATTTGTTCATATTCAAGGCTCTGTGCTCAGAACTTTTCCACCATTGCCTCATTTAATCCTCAAGCTCCAGAAAATACTGTTAACGTCATTTTATA